TATTGACTCTTTCCCACAGCATCCCTCTTCCCCTCGCTGCCTCGGGAAGGTTTTGCGTAGGCATGACCCGTAGCGAGGGTTGGGGGTCTTTCTAGCGAGCAGGGCTAGACTCACCCTCAAGGAACCGATACCTTCTTGCTGCGGCGCACCCGCCGCGAGGCGTGCGTAGTGGTGGTGGAGTTCGGTCGGCACTGGTGCGTCAGGTACAAAAAAGGTGCAGATGCGCGGGCCTCCAGGCCGTCGGTTTAGGCAGCAATGCCCATCTCATCTTTGCGCGCGGAGGCAGACGTCATCAGAAAGGTGGACGGGCACTATGTACACGGCCCTAGGTTTGCTAGAGGGTACTGTCTCAGTAACCTGGTATTGCCATCAAAGGAGGAGGGGACAGGAGGTGGTGACGAGCTGAATGGGCTGGTTGATCCTTCGGCGCGAGAATTTTTAGACCAAGAACCCTAAGTGCAACGAGGGAGAAAGCTAGGAACCGACTGGGAAGGTCAGCAACGAGAGCGTGTACGAAGCGGAGCGGGTCGAGTTCGATCGTGCTAGGACTGGCCACAGCGGCACCGGAGCAGCCACACCGGAGCAGGCGAACGGCATCGAACCGTGGCGCACGGACAAACATCGCTTGTGTTGTCAATTATTTCTCCGTTTTTTTCCTGAATACGGGTGTTGGGTGTGTGTAATGACGTCACTGGTTTTGTAGAGAGACGCGGCAGAGATGGCGTGGATAACCCGGGTGCCTTGCTTGTGCACCTGCATCGTGGAAGACCCCTTCAATGTGGAACGATTCTTAGTCAGTGTCGATGTTAACACTGCTGTGCCTAACACAGATGATCTGGATAGATTCGGGTGATGTCAATTGCAATGATGACTTTGGTTGGGTGTTCTTCTTCATCGTATGTCCACGGGCTCATTCTGACAGCACTTCAGACAGCAGCTCCATGCCCCGAGCTTGTGTACCATGCACCATGGTGTTATTTTTGTACAGACAGCACTTCAGACAGCAGAACGCTGTAGTTGACATTCATTTTGGTTGAATGCGGGATAAGGGGGGTGATGCCGCTGCTGTAGCCGATCTGTAGTGATGATGTTGTTGTTGTTTCTCACATTAGCTCTATTGTCCACAAAAAATAGGGAACCCGTGGTTTCAAAACACGGCACATACGACGCCGCGAGAAAAAAAAAAAAAGGGTACAAACCACTCGGAAAAGAAAACAAAATGATAGAAAGAAAAGAACAGGTATCGCACCGACCGTTCGAGAAAAGAGCCCTCGGACACCGATAAAAAAACAAAACATAACAAAAATAACAGAAAAATAAAGGAGGACGCTTCCCACACCCGCCGAAAGAAAAAATCAAAGGGTAACGTACCAGCACCAGGCACTGCGCACCAGGGCATGGGAGTAACGGAGCAAACAGGACAAAGAGGTGGCAGATGGGCAGACAGCCAGACGTACAAAAACAAAGGCAACAGCAAAGCGAGAGCAAGGTACCCAACACAGCAGAGTAGGCAGGGAGGTCATGAAAAAAAGAAACAAAGCACAGATAGTGTGTGGGCGTGTAGTTCAGTTGTGAGCATGCAAACGTGCTGCAGGCATTGTAGGTGTACCTCCTCGGGCTTGCGTACCCTTTCCTTGCTAATAGTGTTGTTGTTGTTGTTGTTGTTGTTGTTGTTTCTCACATTAGCTCTATAATCCACGAAAAATGGGGAGCCCGTGGTCTCAAAACCCGGCACATACGACGCCGCGAGAAAACAAAAAAAAGGGTACAAACCACTCGGAAAAAGAAAACAAAATGATCGAAAGAAAAGAACAGGTATGTGTTCTTTAGAACTTCTGATGGCTACGTAGCATTTGTACGACCACGGACCGAGTCTTTGCTAGATTTTGGGATTAGCAACTGACACGAGTACCCTCCGGCGTTGTAGGCGGGTGTGGGAAGCGTTCCCCGTTCTCCTTTTATTTTATTTTGATCGGTCTCCTCGACGCTCTTTCTCGTTTGGTGCGGTAGCTGGTCTTTCTTTCTATCATTTTGTTTCTCTTCCGAGTGGTTTTTGTACCCTATTTTTTTCTGTTTCTTCGTGGGGTCGTGTATGCCGGGTTTTGAGACCACGGGCTCCCAATCTTTTTTTTTTTAGAGCTAATGTGAGAAACAACAACAACAACAAAACGAGTTTAATGTGAAGAAAATCAACAAACAACAACAAGACTAAGCCTCTGCTGCGTCAACTGACATTTTAGCGTCAACAATGAATTGTTTTCGTCGTCGTCGTGCGCAAAGTATTTATCACACGTACTCTCCGCCTCCCCCCCTCCTCCCCTCCCCGGGGGAGGCCGAGGCCCGCAAGTGCAGTTAACCCTCGAAAAACCACCCAACAACGACGGACATACTGTCCCTAGCACCGTTTTGGAGAGGATCTTGAGTTTGGCGGTCGGGAGTTACCGCGGTCACGAGATCGAGGTAGATCGTGA